TCGCCAAAAATGAAAAGAGGTTGACATCTGACCCCTTTTTTTTCCAGACCTTTTAGAAAACTGGATGATAAAGGCTCACTGCAGTGGGACAAAATAAACCAGCTGGAGAAGGGGAAGATCTACAAAGAGGTAAAGTGACCTGGGTACATAAGGGGTATGAAGTGATGAGTCTGAAGTGAGAGTCTGAAATGGTGGGAACTTAGAAGACGTCTGCAGTTTTTGGAATTATAGAATGCTTTGGGTTGGAAAGGGACCTTAAAGATCACCTAGATCCAACCCCCTTGCACTAGATTCCACTAGATCAGGTTGCTCCACCCTGGCCTTGAATATTTCCAGGGAGGGGGCATCGACAACTTCCCTGGACAATCTGTTCCAGTGTCTCACCACTTTCACAGTGAAGAATTTCCTCCTAATGTCTAATCTAAATCTCCCCTCTTCCAGTTTTAATCCATTACCCCTTGTCCTCTTGCTACAAGCCGTTGTAAGAAGTCACTTCCCAACTTTTCTGTAGGCCCTTCAGGTACTGGAAGGCTGCTATGAGGTTTTCCTGGATCCTTCTCTTCTCCAGGCTGAACAACCGCAGCTCTCTCAGCCTGTCTTCATAGGAGAGGTGCTGAAGTCACTCAAGTCACTGAAAAACAGGAAAATCTGCTTAGTCATGGTGGGGGAAAAATGATGGTCCTTCTATAGATCACTTGTGGATGTTTAATGTTTGGAAAGTAAGAAATGGAAGTCCTTGAAAGGAGCAGCTCTGATAGATAGAAGCCATTTGTAAGAAACACTCTAGGCCCTGTGTACTGCCCTGGCTGTAGGCAACAGGAGGTGCCCTCTGTCCACATTCAGAGAGCTCTTGCTGACCCAGTAGGACACCGTCCCCCCAGATATTTTCAGTGTGTTGCTAGGCAGACTGTGGATCAATAGCCTTGTACTTGGACTGCCTCTGAAAAGTTTTCGGCTTCTGCTGGGATGTAAGCATTGGAATGAAGTGTCTTCTCCTCTATCAGAAAGCCCTGCCAAAGTGTGTGCTCCCCTGAGAACGGGGAGGGATGCTCCATGCTGGCTGTAGAAAAGGCCATCTCGGCTTCTTACAGATGCAGGAGGCAGACCTGAAATAAGGTAAAGCAGAGCTGCCTGGTAAGAAAACTTGTCTGCAGCCCTGAAACAGTTTCCTGCACAGCTCTGTGCATGGGTCATGCTGCAGAAGGGTGTGTGATGGGAGAGGTGTGTTCCACCCAGCTCAGCTGGGCTTGGCATTAGAGATGGAGGAACAGGGATGGGGGGAAAAGGCAGAGCAGGGCCATTTGAGGATGCTGTGTGCTTGCCCAGGAGGACCTGTGCTGAGTTAGCACTCCTAGGCTGAGATTTTTTCCTGTGTGAGAATGGGTAGAAGGGAAACTCTGCATGTGTAGCAGGGGTCAGTGGATACCCGCTACCCCAGTGTAGTGTGAAACCTTGACCCTAGGAGCATTGTTCTGACACTGGCCAGCATGGCTGGTAGTGCAGTTTTTCCCTTGGCTCTTCTGATGTCCTGGTTCTGAAACTCTTGTCCTGGAGAGGCTCCCAAGAGCATTCTAGTTCAGGGCAAGAAGGCAGAGCTCTCTGCTATCTGATATGTATGCAGAGATCATCCACACGTCACTCCAAATCATCCTCTGTAAGGTGGGCTTGTGAAGGAGGGAGCAGAGAAGCAAGGGCGATCAATTAGTGTACAAAGCCTGGTTCCTTTTTGTCTCCTGTTACTGAAGGACAAGTGTGTCCAAAGGATGTACTGTTCTTCTGTTGGACTTGCTGACTTGGGGTGATCTCTTTGCAGCTGGTCTGTCCCATGAGAACAAATTGCCTCTGGCATGAGGACGGTTTGTTCTTGGTTATGTGAGCTGTCCAATCCTATGGGAAGAAACTGTTAGTGAGAGTGGGGTCAAGTAGCTGGGACCTGACCTGTGGTAGAAAAGTAGGTCATGTCCTTGAGTAGTGCTGTTGGGAAGCCTCTGGCTGTCTGGTGGGTCCATCAAAGGACTCTGTAGCGTCCCATCCTCTGCCAAGAGCTAGGAGCTAGGAACATGCAAGCAGAGCTCATACAAAGACTCCCTGCCATGGGCAACCTTTCCCAACTATTATGTCCATTCCTTGGAGCATTCCAGTGGTGACAGTTATCCCACCATGTTTGCATGATGGCAACTACATCCTCACTATCCTGCTGCACAAGGACTTCCAGCTCATCCTGTTTGTTGCCCATGCTACATGTCTTAGCGTAGATGCATTTGAGCTGGGCTATTTGTTTCACCCCCATCCTTGGCACTTCACCCCTAGACTTGTCTCTGGTGGGCCTGGTTTTATCCCCCTCCCACTCTGAGTCTAGTTTAAAGCTCTGTCTATGAGCCCTGCTAAGAAGCTTCCTCTACACATCATTCACCTGTGCCCCAGATAGACAGCAAGCTTCCCTAGAGGACCCAAGAGAGTCCTCTTGGCTTGCTCTGCCCTAGGACACAGAACTTCCCCCTGAACTGCCTATGGAGTTTGGAAGAGTTTCTGCCTTTTTTTTCTATTGCCTGAGAATGCTCAGGGATGTTCAGGGAAGATTTGTCACATGAGAAGAAAGTGAAATAAGGTGGGGAAGGACCAACCTCTGGGTTTGGAGGGTGGGGGAGCACGCAAGTTGACATCTGACGAGACTGCTCACATTTGCATGTGGTAAGGTGGCACATCCAGGTGCACTGACAGCGCTGGTGATGATGGAGGCATTTGGCCTGTAGCTATGTTTCTTTGCTCCTTTTACTTGCAGGGTAATCTCTTTGATTTCTTGAGGCTGACAGGCTGGCGTGGGTCCAAAGTGCTGTATTTTGGGGACCATCTGTACAGCGACCTTGCGGTAAGTAAAAAGTTCTCTGGTCTCCAGTGAGGTGGGAGCAAGCCTCTGTGACTGCTGTGCTTGCAGCAGTGTTGGAGGGTACAGCAGGGCCCTGTTCCCAGTGCCCAGGTCTCCAGTGTGCTGTGGTTGTGCTCTGCAGGCTGTGGCTTTTGAGGCACCCATGGGCTACATAAGCAGCCCCACTCTGCTGTCAAGCAGGCTCAGGCAGTGGAGAAAGGGCTCCTGAAGCACTTCTGTGGGTAAAGAATATCTGTTGGTCTGTGAACATAAGAGCACGTTGTGTGAATCCAAGGTTTCTCTACGGCTGGTGGCTGGGAGGCTTGAGTTACCAGCACAACCTGGCATGGACCATGGGTGCCTGTTCCCTGAGAATCTATAATGGGACCAGACCACTCTTCTAGGAAACAGGCTTGTGTTTGGCTTTCAGTCTTCATGTTGAATTCTTGATTGTTTTTTCATCCTGACCTCTAGGACCTCATGCTACGTCACGGCTGGAGAACTGGAGCCATCGTTCCTGAACTGGAGACGGAGATTCGGATCATAAACACAGAGCAGTACATGCACTCCCTGACCTGGCAGCAGGCTCTGACGGGGCTGCTGGAGAGAATGCAGGTAACCAGCTCCTGTCTGAGCAGGATGGGCAATATGCTGCCTTCCAAGTCTCTGTTTTGGGCTTAGTATGGAAATCAGAGAACTTAGCATCTTGCCTGTGTTCTCAAAAACACCTCATCCTCCTCTTGGAGCAGTGGCCTCTTGAGTTTGATGAGTTACTGTGGAGACTGGGGGAGCTGAAGTGAGGCCGACAGGATTGAGGCAACATGGTGCTTTCTGCTGTTGTCTTTGCAGATGTACCAGGATGCGGAGTCAAAGCAAGTGTTGCTGGAGTGGATGAAGGAACGTCAAGAGATCAGGTGAGCATTGGTCATCTCACTCATGAGGTCACTTGAGGGCTATGGGGCCTGCACATGGTCTGTTTTGTAGACAGGTGTTGCAGCTGTAGGCCTGTTGGCCTACCTGGTGTCCCATGTCTGGGATGGATGCAGCCCTGCAGACTGGGAGGCTAGATGGGTTTGAAGGCAGGAGTGTCACCCTTGTGCTGGGGGTGGGGCTGTTGACTGGCTGACTGCTGCTGCAGCTCCTGGCTCTTGCTCCAAAGAAGAGTGCGGTGACTGTTCAGCAGAGCCTTGCTGCACAGGGACTGCCTGCATTGTAGCCTGGGTGGAAGGGTACTTAGGGTGACCCCAAAACATCTTTTGGGAGTGGGGTGGCCCAGGGCTGAGGGAGTGGAAAGGGAAAAATATGTGACCTTTTATCAACAGAACACCATTCTTTTTCCTCTCAGGTCGCTGACGAAGAACCTGTTCAACCCCCAGTTTGGAAGCATCTTCCGCACCTTCCACAACCCCACGTACTTCTCCCGCCGGCTGGCGCGGTTCTCTGACATCTACATGGCATCCATCAGCTGCCTGCTCAACTACGATGTGAATTTCACCTTCTACCCTCGGCGCACCCCTCTGCAGCATGAGGCTCCGCTCTGGATGGACCAGCTCTGCACGGGCTGCATGAAAACCCCCTTCCTGGAGGAGATGGTGCACATCCGGTGAAGGGCCAGGTACCGCGGGCACCAGCACAGTCTGTATGTGGGGCCAGGCTGCCCGGCCGGCAGCACCTCTGTCAACCACTAAAGGGCGTCTGACACTTACATATGTGCGTAGATGCTGTGTTTATTGGATTGTTTTTTTTCCCCTTCACTGGCTCCATCCCTTTCCCTGAGGTGCGTTGCAGGCTGAACAAAGGATGGGTGTTTCTTCTGGTCCATAAGTGAGCTGCAGGGAGTCCCCTGTAGGACAAGGTGAGCTGGAGAACCAGTGCTTGTGGTGGGACGCTGCTGCTCCCTGCTCTGTGCCCAGGGAAGTGGCTCAGAAATGGAGTCCCGAGTCTCAGGTGCTTGGTGAGCACACCATAAGTACAACGTGAGGTGTGACATGTCACACCTCACATGTGGGCTGTAGCTGCTTCTGTGTCTCTAGACTTAGAGCATGAGTGATGCTGCAGGGGGACAGGGTTGCAGAGTGGGCAACCAGTGAAGCCCATCAGTAAATGCATCACAGATGACAGAGCATCTGCTGTGTTACCCGCCCACACCTGGTACCAGCTGCTGGGGCCTTTCTCCTGCCAGACTGGTCTGTCCAGCTGGTGACTCTGGTAGAGGACTGTTAGTTGGATGTGGAGGAGGAGAGCAGAAGGTCTAAGAATAAGTGACATGTTTGGTTTGTTTGGTGAGCTTAGTGCCATGTACTGTCAGTATTTTTGGGGTTTGGTGCCATATTTTGGCAACTGATGAGGTATGGTCTGTTGTGACTTGCAGAGGGAGGTGTTCAGCTTTTCAAGGAGGGTGCAGGGTTGTCAGCAGAACTGGTAGCCTTCCACCCATGCTCACTGAGATGTAGCCTAAGGTGATGGAGGGGCTGGTGAGGATGTCTGGGGCTCAGGGTGTGTGAGTGTGACGTGCTGCTGGGTGTAGTGGGTAAGAAAAGGGAGCGTGGCTGTGCAAAGCACTGAGCTGCCTCCTGAGGAAGCAGAAGAGACAAGCAGTGATAATACAGGACAGAGGACAAGGGTGATGGTGGCCTGGAGGCCCAGGCAGGTCAGAGCTACAGTAGGATGTTAGGGGCAGAGTGTTGGGGAAGGGTGTTTGGCGGAGGCAGTTGATGTTGAGGTGACAGGCAGGAGTGAGAACAGAGAATGGAAGCACTGCCTGTGCTGGGCCTGGCAATGAGCAGGCAAGGAGATAAGTGAGCATGTGTGATAAGTCTTTAGGATACACAGTGGGGAAGGGCTGTTGGGTTACAAGGGGATGGCTGGGGACTTAGCAAGGGTGCAGGCAGGGGTTGTTGTGGGCACTGGGCTGGACACTTGCTCTGTGGGTTCCATGTTGTTAATGTGGGGACAGCTGAGGGAGAGGAACTAGGTTGGTGTGGAGGACCCTATGACAGGAAACCCTTCAGAGAAAGGTGCCTAAGTACAGTCAGTATGTGTCAGCAGCCCTCAGTGAGATACACACAGACACACATACTCACACATGTTCCTCCCCGGCAGTGTGACAGGGTCACCCCTCAGTCTGTCACTTGCCTGTCACTGCCTCATCTTTGTGCTCCGTGCCAGCCTGGCACAGCCTTTCCAAATGCCTTGCTCTCACCACAGTGGCCAGAACGATTGCTGTTAACATAGTTGCTCTAATCTAATGGCTGTAGTATGTGCATGTGGCAGTTGATGTCTTTGTGCCGTGTGGTGTGTGTAGGCTCAATAAACGTCTGCAGCATGTGTAACTAACTGACTAACCAACTCACTGCACAGGTGTTCCTTGTCTCTATTCCTCTGCCTGCCTTGGAGGTGCAGCTCTGTATGCAGGACCATGAGCCAGGACACTTGGTGTGGGTGTCTTAAGAGGCTGGGACTGAGATGTCCAGCATGGAGCACTTTGAGCCCCTTATGGCCATAGTGCAGGCAGAAGGACAGAGCAAAAAGGGTGTTTGGGGGTGGTGACTAACTGATGGGACTTGTGCCTGGCCATGGGGTGTAGGAGGGTAGACGAGCAAGGGCTGGCAAACACTAACACTGCTGGAGGGGGTTGGTTTAACTGGCCTGCATGGCTCTGGTGGGCAGCACCTCGTACAGGGCTGTGTGTGGGGAGGGACCAGACAAGAGGGGTGCTGGGGCTGTCGGGTGGCAAGTACCAGTGGTCAGTCATTGGGAGACGGTGTGAGGATGGGGCTGAGAGCCTGGTGGTGGGGGTGGTGGGGATGGCAGG